TTCTGCCCTAACACTCAATGCCATCCCTACACCTCTCGAACTAGCTAAGGAGTCTGCTGACACTCATGAAGTGAATTTTGAAGATTCACCTTTTTGGCTTAGTGAGGTTAAGTGATTGACCACACTCGGATCTTGTATGCGTGTCTCCGAAACACAACATACAGCCATGCCTCAAGATGCCAGAGTCCTTGCTGATGATGCCTGTTGTCCGATTTGGCAGAGGGTCCTGACATTGAAAGTTAGTATGTGAAGTTGGCGACGTGGCTTTAAGAGGATATCGGGGGGGGGGAGGTTTCTATGGCTTTCATCATTGTTTGTGGTCACAGAGTGAAGTGAAGATGACTCACTAGTCTGAAGAATAGTACCGACTGTAGGAGAAGAGTAAGATGATGAAGGCGATGTGGGTAAAGGAGAATGATCCCCGAGGAGGCTTCGTGTGCTCTTGGAAGTGTGTAGGCGGTCGTTGCTTCCTGCCTGCCCACACCGTGGAAATTGGTTAGTTCTTCGGGTACCTGAAAGAGAAAGAGGGTTAGTTTTGCGTGACCGCAGGGCCCAGGGGACAACTGCTTGAGACCGGTCGCACACGGTCTGTATGAACCGGTTACTTGGTCTGGTTCCGTATTAGTAAACTTACCGTCGGTTACGGACCACCGTAGGGTAAGTCGGGATGTACAACTGTTGGGGTCGATCTTCTCTAACCCCCTCTCTCCAGCGTAGAGAGACAGCATGGTTGGCATGCTAGTCATCTGAAGGAAACACCTCACTCCTGTTACATCCCTGTTCCCCAGCAGTATGATTTCGCCCAAAGACCCCCAGCATAGTGTAAATAAATTTCTTACACTATTCCGGTAACTTCTTTTATTTAATCGCTATCCTAGCAACCTTCTTGGCACGGTAGGACCTGCAGGAACAGTAGTTCGAGCCAGTGTCGTTTGTTGAGTTATTGCGATGTGCAATCCCGACCACCACGTCAAGGTAGCAGCTATCGGTCGGGTTAATGTCATACATATAATTAATAATAGGATGTATAGAACTTGGAAGAGGTGTGCAATTATAGGATTAGTATGCAAATCGGATGAAATAAAGACGTTACGTAACATTGTGTGAAATTTGATAACATAAAATTTAACGTCGCAAAACAGAATTGATTTAGAATGGCAAGTGGAATAAGTGAAATAATACCGGGGACAGTTCAAAGTGAGAATAGTAAGAGTGACAACTGAAGTAATAAAGGAAGAGTACACAAAGTGAGTAAACAAAATGAAAAATATGATTACGGAATAACATACTTTATTATAGCGGGATTAAGACCATGAAAGTTGGAGGGGTTGAAGGAACTTTTAAAGTATACAGAGATCTCGCTTTTCTATTTCAATAGCCAAAGCTTTAGCAATACAGATGAGTCGGGTAAGTAGTGATTTGGGCAAATTACTTTTCGCCTTGTAGATGACTTTAAAGGCGGCGGCTGTAGAGAGAAAGTGATCATTATCGACCAGATGTTCAATGATCGCGCTTGTTACTGCTCTACTTCGTAACCAGGTGGGATAGTGTTCTTACACCCTCTTGGACAAAACTCAAGTCAAACGACCGATATACTTAGCTCCACACGGGCAGGTGAATTTATAAACACACAAAGAGTTGGTCAACTGCGGGATCTTATCCTTCAGGTTATTGAGCAGTAATGGTCGATTGGTAAAGGTTATTCTCAAATATGCAGCAGAGAACGTTCTTTTCAGGGACTGTGAGAACCCTCTTTTAATGATATAGGAAGCTAAGTCACCTTTAAATTCCAAGCTCACGTATAGTGTTTTCTTGGGAACGGATGTTAATTCACATTTCATAGGATTTGACTGTATAAAACGTGGTGGAAATCCATTTTCTATTGGGATCTTTCCCAAAAGATTAAACTCATCCTGCATAGTATCAGGGCTACATATGCGCCGAATGCGAGTGGCAAGCGACCGGATCAGGTTTCGTTCTCGACCAATGGGTACCCAGCTGTAGAAATTTGTCAGGTGACCATTCCATGACAGCCTTCGATAAATCAATCTCTTCAGAGTTCTATCGGTGCTCCTTGATAAGTTCACATCGAGGAAATGAATACTAGACACGTTTTCCATTTCGAGTGAATTTTACAGCGGGATGGCAACTATGCAATGCATTTAATATATTATTCAAATTATAATCACTATTACAAATAATAAAGGTGTCATCTGCATACCTTTTATATATTTGAAAACTTTGGATTGTTGACTTCAACTGACAACTTTCTAGACTGCCTATAAAACAGCTTGCAAGAAGAGGACACAAGGGAGAACCCATTGCAATACTATCCTTCTGTCTGCAGATTGTTTCATTGAAAGTAAACTGTACATTCGATGCACATATCAAAAGTAGTTCTTTCAAACCTGTATTGGGTATCCCTATATTCAAATTGTTGTCTTCAATAAATTTGCATATAAAGCAAATGGTTTCCGTCATTGGAACGTTCGTAAATAGGGATTCTACATCTAAAGACAACATATGTTTATTCGAAACATGTGTCTTGTATACATTCGACAAACTGGAAGGTGTCACGAAGTGAGTGAATAGATAGTTGTCCCCTGACAAGTTCGAGGATTTCAACTAACCACCTAGCTATTGGATAGTAAGGGAATCCAGACATATCCAAGATAGGGAGGAGTGGAAGGCTAGCTTTGCGTATCTTCGGTAGACCATAAAGTCTAGTCACTAAGGCTAACGAGTTACCTTGTCTGCCACTTAGTTCTGACAGAATTATTTTGATTAAATTTGAAACAAGGTGGTTAGGCACAGTTAGCACGGAGCATCCTAACAGCCAACATCAGTACCATAGCATATTACAGTGATAACAGTAATGTGTGGTAGGCTTCCTGATAATCATCAAGATTTCCCATAGAAGTACTTTAAAAATTTACTACAATACAAAATTCAGCAGCCGTATAGGCGATTGGGAATACGAAATTGTCGTTCCAACAACTGAATACCAGAGTCAGTGATGGAACAAATATTCCGCTCATAGATTTTGCTTTATTTCTGTCTGTATAAATAAGATCAAACTGAAAAAATAAAGAACTGAAACTTCTAACCAACTCGCATCGTCTATAACAATTATAAGGGTTAAGTTAATGACCTTCGAATGATTAGATAACAAAAGATCAGTTAGGAATGATCGGATCATTGGGTAATGAGCAGCCTCCTACTAGCAGACATGCAGTTTTATTCACATCTTGGACTTCTTCAACAGCTGCCATCTAGCAATTCAGTTTACACTAGAGAAGGAATCCGATACAAAAATATATTTTCTGGACGTCCAATTAACAATACATAAACGAGATGGAACATTAAAAAGATCCATCTACAAAAAGCCAACATGGGACGCACAGCTTACTAACTTTCACAGTTGGGTGCCCTTATGTACAAAACGACACCTAATCCGTTCACTGAGCCACAGAATCGGCAGCATTTGCAGGGACGGTAAAAATCTATGGTTGGAAACAATTGGTGACATGGCTCAAAATCGTTCTCAGTGGCGCAGATGCATCCACTCCCTGTGACTTATGATCTTCAATGAAACTGTTTTGTATTTCTTTATTACTCCTTTGTCTCATACCTCTGCTCACTGTTTCTATTATGCTTTTCTTGTACTTTCTTCTCTTGCTTCGCGTGCTACACGGAATGTGGCGACTTGAACTTCCGCACATTTGTGCAAAGTTCTATGTCGAAAACAGACAGACAGAGACAGACATTTGCAGTCCTGATACTATGGAGGAGCAGCTAAACACTCTGAAGAGAATCCTCCTCGAAAATTGTCACCCAGAACGTTTCATTACAAAATCTATGAGACGAAAACAACCGACACTTTCTGCTTCCAAAAAACTACACTACCTGAGTCTACAATTAAATGGAAACTCAGCAGCAAAAATACTGAGAAACCGACTGTCCCGCTCATTGAAGAAACCCCTCTTCACGGCTAAATTTCGATTAACCTTCTCTACAAAACCAATGATTCGCATGAATGAGAAGGATAAACTACCACTGTTGGCCTCATCAATATGCATCTACCAATTCACCTGCTCGTGTGGAGCTAGGTATGTCAGCCGTACCCAGCGTTTGCTATCCAAACGTATCATCGAACACTTACCCTCAAGGTTTTATGAAGAAGGAAATAGAGCCCCCGAAGCTCTATTTTGGAACACCTGATTGAATCAGGACACCAAGCAACTTCAAATTTGTCTACAAAATACGTGGGAACCTTGTTAAAAAAAATTACGAATCAGACTTCCTCAAACTGCAGAAGCAATGGAAATTCACATGTTAAAACCTCAACTCTGCAAACAAAAGAAGTTTGTTCAGTCATTAAATCTACAGTGGACCTAACCTATCTTAAAACTAAATACGCGATTTGTGTTTCGTCTTTTTCTTGCTTGTTTGTTTCTTAATTGTATAGAATTTTCTACCTCCACCCCTTATTAAATCTGCATTCTTAATCACCAGTTATCAACTTGACATTTGTTCAATTTTAATTTTAGTTGAGCTCTACTCAACCCCTTCAATTAGATTACGTCACTCAACTTGCTTATTTAATCTCGTTTTAGTTTCTAACCAATTAACGAAATTTGTTATCTAAAATTTACAGTCCTAATGATAAACTTTTCAAAATGTTCATTTCGTTGCTAAGAAAATTTACTATATATATATATATATATATATATATATATATATATATATATATATATACGCTACTGTAAAACTTGAGAATGTTATCGTCGAAAAGAGTAACCCTTCGCTGAACTTTTCTTTTATATGACTCTAATAAATGCCTAGTGGATGACACTTAAAACACTGGAATTCGTGAAGACTATGAATTGTGCAGTGTTCACGCATAGTACATGACACCAGCTAATCACAATAAGTGAAGACAAGAAAATTAATAGCACAGAAGCAACTGTTTTAAAGCATATCTCATCCTTCGAAGCGTAGCGCAGAGGGCAAAGTATTACTAAACCTAATCATCTTACGCTATAACACGCCGGGAAGGGTAACTACAAGTCTTTCGCATATTTGACTTCTGAAAATGAAATGCAAACCAAAACGTGTCAATACAAAGGAAGAAGTATTGGCTCCTTATCTTAACCATAGTAGTAGATAACTATTTAAAGATCCCTAACTGGTCTTCTTGTGACTGCTTCATCTTAGAATTATTTTTTAGTAACTGGTTGCGATTTACGAGGACCTACCGACACAATTCCCAAAAACAAATGACAGTATAAAACAAGTGGGCTCTTAAATATATTTGGTAAGATATAACTTGAAAAGTATGCAACACTGAAGTATCACACTGACATGTCCATCACCTTAAGTTACAAAGCGTAGATCCAGTGACACATTCTCCAAAAGACCTTCTTTGGTTGTTAAAATCTGACGAGTAAACGAATGTTATAAACATTCTAGACAGTAATCACATTCAGTTTTAAACACGGACTATCGAAGAGAATATACATTTTAATAAATAAACACTTGCATTTTTATAACTCATTACACCTGAAAACTCACATATATAATCTATACAAATGCACCACTGAGTTAATCTAACTGTTCTCCAATATATGAAGTTGTTTAATCCATAATAAGAGATGATCAAACGACATATTATGACTATGATCAGTTTTATGCTTTGAGGTGCCGTTGACCCGTGAAGTTGACGTTGGGCAGGTCCAAGGAATAGGTATTTCATGACGTAAAAGAGCATTTAAGTCATTTCGACATTTTATTCTTAATTGCGAAAGAAAGTCATTGTTTTGGTCCGCATCTCCAATAATCTCAGTTAGCTGAGACGAAATTTCAATCATGCACAGTCTACGTAACACCGACTTGATAGTTATTTCATTTGAGACATCTTTGCATCGTTTATTGACCAACTCGTGCATAGGTTCACCTTCAATATTTACGGAATCGACGTCGCATTTCTGCTTCTCAACTACATTTCTTGAAAGATTCTGAGACTTGGGAACACTACTTTTTCCGGATTCACTAGGGCATTGTACATGATTACTTGTTGGGTAATTAGTATTCCAACAGCTTTCTGTAATATACTGAAACACATCAGGCTTAGATACACTTAAACTCAAACCCTCTGCCCTCTTTCGATGCTTCTTCCCAGCTTCGTGCTTAACTACATCACGTAGAGCGATATATCTTTGGCATACAGCACAATAAACACGATTATTTTTACCTTTATTAACTGACTTTTCACTACCGTTACATGTTGCTGACCTAGTGTGAAAACTGATTTCACTAGAGTGTCCATTGGGAACCTGGAAGTTGTCGTCTACTCTGGAACCATTGTAATTTGATTTCTGAATACTTGTGTTGTAATCAGTAGTAGGAAGACTTATTCCGTTATGTGAAGAGGTACAATCAACCTCGTAGACATGCTTCCAATATTCCGTTTGGTCGACAAACTTGCTTTTGCAAACAAAACATTCAACAAGTTCGGACATTTCAATCTAACCTGTGAAACAACATAGAACAAAAGACAATGTGACAAACTTTAATGATAAACGGTCGCAAACAGCGTGAAAGCACACTTGAATTCAAATGACTCGGTAAACTGTAGAAGATGATAGATGTCACACACTTTTTCGACACTAGGAAGCCTAAATATTATCGGTTTTGTTACAATTCAAGAAATGGAGTAAATGATTTACGCAACAAGTAATTAACGGCAAGTAGTACCGCCAGTTGCCACGCAGTAGGATGCAGTCATAACATGAAATGAGTACCACTCGCTGAATTGCAACAAAAGCAGAGAGGAAAGAAACGAAAATTTCAAGAACTCTGCTCTTACCATCTACTGAGATTGGCTGTGTGAGGGTGACTAACCACTGATCGTGAACCGCTGATTAAAACGTAGATAGCTAGATTAATGACTGGCAGTCCGCATCATAATACCATCGCAAATAACTGGAAACAGCAAAAACAACGTAAGTGCGAGATGAGTAGCATTTTTCAGGACTGGTTGAATCAGTTTGGCATCCAGTGTTATTTTTCAGTAATTCCTGCATTAATTCAGCACATGTTAGTTTTTCCTTAATGCGAAAAACGTCCATATTGGATCGCAACACTTACATATAGTTTATAGTTTACAAATAGTTTAGAATTGCCGTACGCTTGGATAATATCTACTGTGCAACATTTCATTCTGAAGGGATCGTAAACGTTCAACCTCAGTAAATAACAATCCGTATGAACTTAAATAAACATATATGTACACATAACTTTTAAACAGCACGAGAAAAAACATGGATATCCCGTTAAACCACTTCGGTTCGCGAACCAAATGAGGTCCCAAACAGAGAAATTTTGAGACATGCATGCTTCACTGTAGTGTAAAAGTTTTACGGAAAATCAACGCTTTCTTCCCCAAAAAGTCACCAGAGCGATTCACAAGCAATTTTGAGGCATCTAAATTTGAAACAACTCATTCTTGGTACTTTCCTTCAAGTGCTCTAAAATTGTTTAACGAGTTTCAGTTAGCTGGTTTTTGTGTTAACTGCACATTCAAACTACCAAAACTATTGCTATTATTTTTAAGCTGATCCTATCAAAATATATTACGTCACCTAACCCCAAACATTATCTTAACAACACTAGAAACTAACCAACGAACTTCGGTCACACACTGATGTTCAAAGCAAGTGGAAATGCAATCATGTTCATTAGCGACATAAATAAACAAACTTGATATCATCAATGTAACTACCGAACTAATCAGTAAGCAATAGATATGACGCTCCTCCATTTCTAACTAAGGGAAAGGAAGTATGTGAAGTTTGAAAGCACGTTTTAGGAGGCACAGCATTTTTCCGGAAACCAAAGACTTCACTTCTAATATCCAATATCGTTTTCACGAGCTAGTATAAACCAATTTGACTTCCTTGTGCTCGCTTCTTGATCGTAAGGTATAGGTTCCTGATCTTCGGTAAACTTCTGCGTAACTCGTCCCACCACTCGACTGTCGTAGCTTTGGTTGACTCCAAAGGGAGTAGTGCTGGGATTAATTTTATGTGGTTTGTAGTATGAGGTGTGTTAAGACTGTTACTACTGTGAATGGAGTTGATCCTTTCGCCACTTAGTCCTCCGGTATCGTCAACAAGAGAAAATAGATGGTAATAATATTGCTAATAATAGATATAATTAGTGAAGTTATTCAGACTAACAGACAGACACGGAAATAGGAAAGCGTAACAGCAGTCAGCTGATTAAATTTGAAGAACTATATATATATATATATATATATATATATATATATGTCGGTAATAATAATATTAATAAGTTGTCAGGGGAGTAAGACGGAAGAGAGTGTAAAGAAGCAAAACGATGAGTTTAATTGTCTACCCGTGAATGGTGTATGCGATTTTAAAGGGATAGTCCATTTGGATGCAGTCCTTGTGTCGCTGCATGGTTGTCCAGCCTTCGCTTAGAGACGTCCAAAGACGGTGCTATAGCTACATCTGCCGGTAAGGAATTCCAGGGACGGCAAAAACGCAGTGAAAAGAAGTGGGAGCGTACCCGGGTCCTTGGCCTCTGGTGAGCTATCCTTCTGGGATTTCCACGTGGGAGCCTATACCTACTCAATGGCAGAACACCTTTCATACGCTCTTCTGCTGATATCCTTCCTAATGATACAAATCATGTTGACAGTAATTTTAGTGGTTTTAATACCCTTGATGTGCTTAAACGTCTCCGGTCTCTTAAGCCTTCTCAAAGCCTTGGTCCCGACGGCATACCTGCCATTGTCCTCAGGAACTGTGCTGATATTTTGTGTTACCCTCTTACTAACATTTTAATGCTTCTTTTTCCGGTAACGTTCTACCTTTGGCATGGAAAAACATTAAAATTATCCCCATACCAAAACCATCTTTTGGTACTCATATTAAATTTCGGCCTATTGCAATTACTTCTCCCTTTTTAAAATTGATGGAAAAATTACTTTTACTTCGTCCTGAACCCTCATTAAAACCTTTTAATGATCCTAAACAATTTGCATACAAACATGGTAGAAGTACCTTGGATGCTGCGGTTGTCTTATATCACAATGTTGTTTCTTGTCTAGGCAAAGGTGCTAAATATGTTAGTAGTGCTTTCTTAGACTACACATCTGCTTTTGACTCCGTACCTAGGGCCCTTTTATTAAATAAGCTATCGTTGACACAAACAGTATCCTGGGCTAAGAGTTGTTTGCATTCCTATTTTTCTGATAGGATGCAGTATACTGTATATAATGGCAAATCTTCTTCTACCTCGCTTACAAAATCCGGTGTTCCACAAGGTGCTGTACTCTCTCCTTTTCTTTTTTCTTTCTTCCTACATGACCTACCTCATTCAAACGAAACTAACTTTGTCAAATATGCAGATGATCTGACTGTATCACTGCCTATCACTTCCGAGTCTGACAGCTCCAAACTTAATAGCTTTCTGTTGGACATCAACAAGTGGTCCAAGTCAAATGGTCTTATGTTAAATCCTTCCAAATGTCAGGCAGCTGACTTTACTTTCAAGCATCGACGTGACTTACATGAACTAGTTAGTTCGCATGATGCCTGTAGCATAGATGGCACAGAAATTGAAACTAAGTCAAGCATTGAATACCTTGGATTAGTTCTTTCCTCTGACCTTTCATGGTCATCCCACATCTTATCTATCTCTAAGAAAATGTTTCGTCTTACCTTCTACATTAAAAAGTTAAGACAATCAGGTATCAACCAACCTTTAGTTTTGCAATTTTTAAACTCCTGTATTTTACCTACTGTACTCTATTGCTCTCCATTAATCTTTCCTGGGCTTCTCAAAAAAGATTATATCATATTACGAAGAGTATTAAATGCTGTGAGTAGGGCATGTGGTCTGCTACTGAATGAGCTCGCCAATACTATAGTCGAGAGGCATATAAATTCCTGTACAAAATGGGCAAAGGCTGTACTGTCAGACCCTCTGCACCTCTTTATTCACACCTATCCCTCTGTATCTCCTCAGGTAGGACGAGAAGTCAATATAAAAAGTTATATGCTCATACCACTAGGTACAGAAATTCTACAATACCCTATATAGCCCGTACTTTATGTGATGAAGACTATGTTAGAGGTGAAACACATAAGTTACTATGTAATTAGCACAGTAAATCGACCCTTTCATAGTTCATCTTTCTGTATTTTATAGTATCACGCTTTCTGTCGTTTAATTATTACTCCGATATTTTATTTTAGTTCGTATTACTATTATTACTACAATTTTATACTTTATGCATATTTTTCACCGTATTGCATACAGTATTTTGCTATGTAGCTGCTGTAACAATCGATTTATTATTATTATGCAATGTGTATTTATAATTTTTTGTCGGCTCTTAGTAAAAAAGATGCAATATTGTACTGAATGCTGAAAATTCCTTGCTGTATCATTAGTATTATTTTTGGAATAAAGCCAATATTCAAGTGTTGGTTTGTAGGGATTTGATTGATTTCAGGATTTCATCATGAGCTGACATTAGTTAGAGAACCATTGGAAAACCTGGGAGTACTGGATAGCTGTTTCGTCCTAGTTTGGGACTCTTCATCAGTACGCGCCCACCGGGATTCGAACTCAGGACCTTCCAGTTACAAGGCGAGTTCGTATACCATTAAGCCATTGGGACCCGATCCAATGGTCGTTCTATTCTAACTTCTGCCAATTCACGACATAGCGCAACCGCTAGCCAATGTCTTCGGCGAGTATTTGTCCTCACACCCGACCAACACTTGAGTACCAATAAGATGTTCACTGGCGACTGGCCCTATTCATGTAGGTAGTTATCTGGGTTCCAGTGGGAATTCGTGACCAGTAGGATGCAGCTGGTCGGGTGTGAGGACAAATACTCGCCGAAGACATTGGCTAGCGGTCGCGCTATGTCGTGAATTGGCAGAAGTTAGAATTCATGGGCCATTGGATTGGGTCCCAGTGGCTTAATGGTATACGAGCTCGCCTTGTAACTGGAAGGTCCTGGGTTCGAATCCCGGTGGGTGCGTACTGCTGAAGAGTCCCAAACTAGGACGAAACAGCTGTCCAGTACTTCCAGGTTTTCCAATGGTTCTCTACTAATGTCAGCTCATGATGAAATCCTGAAAGCCATTATTATTATTCTGGTCATTTGGTATTTTGTAGGCAATAATCAAATCCCCCCTAAGCCGACGGTAGCCAAGTGTGAACAGGCCTAATTTCTTCAGCCTTTCATCATACGTTTTGTTTCGGAGACCAACCACTCCTTTTGTTGCCCGTCGTTGGCCTCTTTCCAATAGGTTGGCGTCTCTTCTCAGCATTGGGGGTGCAATAACATTATGCACCTCAAGGTGTGGCCTGACGTATGTTTTGTACAACATTAGAAAGAGCTCAGAAGTGAGTGCACCTAACTGTCTATGCGTAAAGTGTATGACCGCATATGCCCTCGCTACATCCCCTGTGTAATTTACGCTTGTGTCCATTTTTTCCGTTAGAACTAGACCTAAGTCGCGTTCCGACGTTGTGCAGGACAAGCTTTCATTGCACAGGGTGTAACTTGCATTCTGCAGGTGCGCAACTTCACTACTTTGCACTTTTTCAAGTTGAAAGTCATGCCACTGGCCACCGCCCAGTCTTCCAGAAGGTTTAGGTCTTCCTGTAGCCTATCTGAGTCCTCCGGACACTTTATCGCCCTCCATATTTTTACGTCGTCAGCGTACAGGAGAGTCGGGCAGCTCAGACGGCGTGGTAGATCATTGATGAAAATCAAAAACATCAGTGGTCCTAGGATAGAACCCTGCGACACTCCTGATGACGATCTGTGCCAAGATGATCGGACTCGGTTAACCTTAGTGCAAAATTGCCTGTCGGCTAGGTAGTCCTTCAACCATGACAGAAGTGGCTCACCTATGCCTGCCTGGCTTATTTTATGTAGGAGAAGGTCATGGTGAACAGTGTCAAATGCCTTCTCAAAGTCTAGGAAGACCACATGGACTGGTACGTTCAAGTCCCAGCATGATGTCCAGTCGTCCCAAGCTGACAGTAGGTTAGTGACGCAGGATCTGCCTTTTCTGAAACCATGTTGGGCTTCATGTAGTATATTAGTCCTATCGAAATATTCCCTGATGTGGTCGTCAATAATACTTTCCAGTACTTTTGATACCACTGGGAGTAGAGCTACTGGTCTATAGCTAGCAGCGTTTTGCCTGTCCCCACCCTTGAAGATTGGAGAAAGGATGGCTCTTTTCCACTCCCTTGGCAGGGTCCCCGAATCCATTGAGTGTTGGAACAAGTCGCACAGGGGTCTACAGAGAGCCTCGGCGCACTGTTTCAGAACAGATGGCCTGATGTCATCACAACCTGGGGACTTCCCAGGTATGAGTCGCTGTAGCTTCCTTAGTACTATTGCGGGGTTTATTTGGGGAGTAGTCGCTAGGTCTTCCTCCTCTGAAATAGTGGTGCCACCATTTTGGTCCGTAACTGTAATATCCACATTGCTGTTTAGCTGTTTAGCGAAGGCTGAACTGAATGTTTCAGCCATCTCCAGACTAGTGAGATATTGACCGTTTGGGCCTACTAAGGCGCTGCGGTTTTCTTTCCGACATGAATCGGTACAAGTTTTTAGGGTTTGATAGGAGTTTTTTAGCAAGGTTAGCCTGGAATGACCTTCTGTCCCTCCTGACTCTT